ATAAAGGTAAAGGTAACGAATCTGATCCAACCGACGCGTCGGCCGACACACTACCGACACACCACCGATGCTGTACAAACAGCCGCTGTCGAACCTGGCTTTTCGAACCTGGTTTTTCGAAGGTTCCAACATCCCGCTGAGTACGTGGCTTCATCTAATGTTCCTGTGGGCTATCAAGGCTTCTGGAAGTAACATCGCCAGACTGACTAGCCTTTCAAAGCCTATAGTGATCCGTGCGCTGAGCGACTTACGAACGGTATGTTCGACGAAAATTATGAACGCTGACATGAAGATCGGAGGTGTAGGAAAAACAGTGGAGATCGACGAGTCGAAGTTTGGAGCCAAGCGAAAGTACCAGCGAGGCAGAGTCTTTCTATAAGGTCCGGCCAACGTGTCGGCCGACGCGTCGGTTGGATCAGATTCGTTACCTTACCCCAAGAGAGCTGAGGTTTACGATTTGCAAGAACCAAGGTGTAACACATCTCTTTTTGTTTCTGGTAAAGCTGAAAGAAAAGTTTTGGAACAACGCTTACTCATTTCCCTTGACAAGTTTTTGTCATTATAATTTAAAATTCATCGTCTTGAATAATGTTAAACTATCCTAATCTGCAACCTCTAGCAACCACCCCTCCTCCCCCCCTCTTGGCTAGAGAATAAACGAGAAGTGAGAAGCAGAATAATACAACGAAAATGGTAAAGAAAGCTATTGAAATTTAAGATGATAAGTAAGAGTATCTAATCAACTAACCCCTAAATCCTCAGTGGCATTAGTATATATATATGTAAATTATTTTATCCTGTTCTCCATGCATTCCTTGTGGCACTGATAACGAGAATTCGTTTAACAAACAAAAGTTTGATATATCCGCGACCTTAATGTTTGATTCAGCAGTGATAGAGCAAATTTCAATTGAGTGTTGAAAGCAATCTAAGTTTGCTTTGGTTTTGTTTTATTTTGATCTGTAATTGGTCTAGAAAACTCGCGCCATGTTCTAAGCCAATCAGAGGCCGAACGATAACCAATCGGCGTGACTTGGTCGCCCGCGTTACTTTTCCCGCGCTTTTGGCAGTTGACCTATTTTACTTTCAGTCTTCATTGGTTTATAATGACGTAAACCTTTGTTAAAATCGGATGTGGTGACCACTTTGTTTTTGGTTCTACGATAGACAATTGAAAACTGTTATAATGCAAGGAGAAATTAGATGATAGTCATATATGAGCTAAAAGGGTTAATTAAATAAAGAGATGTTTAATCTTCAGAGTTGACTGAGGAACCGGCTACAACTTTGCCGTCGCTTATGAATACGACAACCAAACCAGGTAAATATTTTGTTCTATACTGCCCTTTAAGGCATCATGAGGTAAACCTTTGTTAAAATCGGATGTCGTTACCACTTTATTTTCGGTTTCACGATAGACAATTGAAAAATGTTCTAATGTAAGGAAAAATAGATGATGGTCATTCGTAACCTGAAAAGGGTTAAACCAAGAGATGTTTAAACGTTCGCAATATCATTGCGTTATCAGCTGACGACTATTCCATGGACGTGAAGTGCGACAAAGACCAAATCAAAGTCATGTTACACATCAAATCTAATCTAAACTACGATCCAGAAACCGTCCAACTCAACGACGCATCCTGCAAACCTTCCTTCCAAAACAGCAGTCATATATTTATCAAATCAACGCTTGAAGGATGCGGAATGGAATGGAATGTCTCACGGGACGGCAAAATGCTTATTTATCGCAACGCTATAACAGCTCTTGTGAAGGGCCGAGGCTCCTTGGGTTTGCACGTATCACGTGACCACCTGGCCGTATTTGAATTCCAATGTCGTTACCAGAAGACAGTGGTGTTATCCGTGGTCTCATTCAATTCGTCGGAAAGATTCGTGATCAGCGATATAAGTAAGTGTTAGAAAGATTCAGTAGAGATATTGAGGAAATTTAAGCTATCACGAATGTACCGTCTAGCGAGAAGTCGATCAAAACAAACTTCTATTGCCCTTAGGCATGTTGAGATTTCCGCGAGAGTTTGAAAAGGGTTTTACAACTCTGACGGTGTTAACCAACCCCCGCTCCCCCTCTCTTCTCCCCTCTCTCTATCTCCTCTCTCTGTCTCTTCCATTTTCTCATAACCCCTTCTGAATAAGTAGTGTTGATTTCCAAATGAAGTGTCAATAAATAGCCATCGGGTTTTCCTTTCTCAGTAACTTCGCGTTGTCACTTTGCATGTGACAGTTGAGAAACGCACAAAGCTATAAAACGAACGCACAGGGCCATTTTTCTGCGCTTTAAATCGTTTATTTCCCCACCTTCTCTCTAATTGCTTAGATTTCCTAATCTTCACTTTCAATTCAGGTTTAAAAGAAATCCAGGATTACTCCACAGGGCTGCCTCCTAACACTCTCTGATTTCCCTGAGAAACTTGTGCAATCTCCTCAACCGGTCAGATGCCAAAGTCAAACCCAACGGGATGGGACTGCACGCCTTCCACTGTCTACTTGTTTTTCGCCTTGAGTTTTATTTGCTCCTCGTTATCCCCTCCCCGCCTCTGTTTGATCGGTAAAAAGAGAACCTCTGTACTCGAGTCAAATAGCCCACCCAGCTTGAGGCAACTAGGGATATCACTTCACCCCCCCCTCCCTCCTCCCTGGATGGAGAGGCAGTCCATCGCATGATCACAATAATTAATTTGGGTTTGCTTGCATGAGACTCGATGAAACGCCCTCCAAATTCAATAACATAACAGAGTCAATACATGTCCACGTTTCATTTTATCTCACAGAATCGTTTGGAAATTTCACATTCGAGATGAGCCTATTCAAAAGCGGAGATTTCCGTGAGCATTACACAGAATACCCTATTGGACCAATAGACGTGGGTACAGACATTTTCCTTCAGGTGACGGTGAGATCCAATGATACTGGAGTTATTGTGTTTGTGGATGAGTGCAAGGCGACAGCCACGCCTAATTATGATGACGAGATGCAGTTTGTTTTCTTGGAGGATGGGTACGTTTGTTTCCTCTTTGTACTTTTAAGAAGAAGTATGATACAGACTGTGAAAATGTGAAAATCATATATGTGAACTGCGGTTGTGAAATTTATATGAAAGCGATCTTCGCAGTAATGAACGCTACCTGAGCAGTAGTGCAAATAAGGCCTGAAAAAACTCAGACCGGTACGGGAGTTGAACCCATGACCTTTACGATACCGGTGCAATATTCTACAAACTGAGCTAACAGGCCAGAATATTCATATCATTTTCCACACCGACTTCACGGCGTAAAAATGAAATTGATACTTACCAATAGTTAAGATTTCAAAGATTAAGCTAACGTTTCATTAAATACTAGAATAAAATCTGTGAACGGTGGGCATTTACATTATCAACTTGTTAATAAAACCGTTTAACTTTGTAAAGATTCAATAATTGTGTTCAAATCTGTTAAAAACTCGATTATGGGCGCTGCCATTTTACCTTGCTCAGCAACCTAGCCGCTTATCTGTAACTCACTCTCCTTGCGAACGAGTTAGAGTGACAAGAAATTAAACGTCGAAACAAAAACATTCTTTTTCTTTTCCTTTTTTTTCAATGGCGATACCCAAATCAGCAACTACTTTTGCACGTTGCGTTGCTGTTTTTTGTGAACTCTAGCTTGTTACTTAGTTGCTTTAGAAACGGCGGTATTCCGTTAGAATCTATGCAAATTAGTCGAATGAAGCCTTGCGCTGCTGCAAAAAGTAAAATGTTTTAAAAATCCAAGCTTTCGCCGATCAACATCAGGGATAAGAAAATATTCCGGGAGCTCTATATATATATATATATATATATATATATGTGCATTTTCGTACTTTGGGGGTGTGGGATAGGGCTTGTCTGAGTGTGAAGGATTTGTGGGAAATGCGTATCGGGATGTTTTCTTTCCTAAAGATGTTAGAGATTATGTGATTTAGTCATTCAGAGATGTATGGGATCTTGAGGTGTGACCATTTATGAGTTGGCAGGTTGAGAGTTTCTTTGGGGATGCTGTGGACATTTGATGGTTCTATATTGTTCTCTGGGTAACCGTTGAGGGGAAGAATGTCGTCGAATGTGTTTAGGTGTTGTGTTGCAGATATATGCGAGGAGCATCTGTCCTCGATGCGTTTTCGTTCGTTGCGGATGAAGTTGAGTTTGGATTTGGTGGGGTTTACGTAAATGCACCAGAGTCAAGTGCCCCATCTCTAAAACCGGATTATTTTTAAGAAGAAATGTAGTATACCAGCTCATATGTAACAGCTGCAATCAACACATGGTACATTGGTAGTACGACGCGCTTCATTCTCAACCGCGCAAAGGTACATCTCAACAATGGAAACTCGTCCGTTAAAAAACATATCTATTCCTGCCAAAACAAAGACCATGAAGGCATTGATGTCGAGATTATTATGAATGAAAACGACCCCGCTAATCTATGCCTTTATGAAGCATTTTACACCAGAAAGTACAAGCCTACACTCAATTCCCGGGAAGAATGTAGTGAATCTGCAGACCTTCTATTTTAGTATCTCATTTTTTAGACCTTTTTAACGATTTTGTAGGTCCTTTGTTTGTAACGATCCATCATTAGAGCCTTAATTATGTTCCATTCACAGTTTATTTCTACAGCTTTCATACATAGTCGCATCTTCTACACATTTCACCACACACCCTTTTTACATATATATATATTTAGTAAAATTTCAGAGCTGAACAAAGAGTTTCCAGCAATCTGATTGGTCGAGCGGTTCCTTATATGACGCTATATAAACCGCTCCGCGCGGTTTATTAAAATGTCAAACTAAAATGTTAATAAATGTTACTAAAATGTGACGATTTTAGAAATTTCTCTGTTGTTCAGCTCTGAAATTATACTAAAACAATTACTCGCCTCAGGTTCGGTGAATATTGGCGAATAATCCCCTCGACTTCTTCTCGTGGCGTTATTCGGCGATATTCACCTCACCTTCGGCGAATAATTGTAAAATATATATATTTATTACACGACTCGGGCAGTCAGAGGGCCAATAACTAAAATCAACCAACCAATATTCTCTAAGTATTGGACCGGGCACTGTCCCGAATGGTCCCGAATGATACCGCACTTGTGTCCCTTTGAACTTAAGTCGTATAATAAATCTCTTATTAACCAAGCTTGCTCGGGACCGTACTGGAAGAATATCGGCCCTCGGTCTTTTTTGTACGGACCTCGCTGCGCTCGGTCCGTACTGCCAAGACCTCGGGCCGATATTCTCCCAGTACGGCCCTCGCGCTTGGTTAATAAGATATATATATATATATATCTATATCGCGCTCCCGGAATATTTTCTTATCCCTGATGATGCCGTTGCTCGGCGAGAACTCGGATTTTTAAAACATTTTACTTTTTACAGCAGTGTAAGGCTTTATTCGATTTATTTGATTATATATTTTAACAACGCTGTTGAAGGACAACATGAACAGATTACGTTTAGTATCTGTAGAATACTACTTCGTTCCCAGGGCTTTCCCCTTGAAACTTGGGAATAGCTCTGGGAATGAGGCTGCATAATTGAAGATTGTTTTCGAAGTCAGATTCTTCTCTTTAGAATCTCAAACCGACGAAATTAAAAAACATTCATAAAAATTTTTAGGATAAAGAACTATATGGTTTCGGGGGAAAGGCCGCTCATCTAAGAGACTGGTAAGTTGATTATGCTGCCCCGAGTGGTAAGTGTGTACTCGAGTATCGGGTTTACAAGCGGAAACCCAGTAATGGGAGAGCCTTGATATAAGCAACGGTGATTTGAAGCCGCCTTGGCTCCGGTGTTGACTGACTTTTATCTCATTGCAGGTGTCCCAAGGACAGCAATCTTCGCTACAATTACACCTTGTCATCCGTTCAACGATTTGTTTTGGCTGCCTTTAATTTCCGCTCCGTGAATTCAAAAGAAATTTTCCTCCACTGTTTAGTGTTAGCTTGTTTGCATTCTGACGAGTCGTCCCGCTGTGCTAAGGGATGTCCATACGAAAAGAGAAAAAGGCGAGTCATTGAAGAAAATGTTGAACAACATCTGGCTGTTGGACCAATAATTGTTTCTTCCCCCAAACCAAAGGAGCCTTCGGGTAGGGGTTTTTGCGATGTCTAAGTAGAAGTCGTGTATACTTTGAGTAGGAGTAGAGCCTGGTCAAATTTCGGCTTTATATTTGCAATATAATTTAACCTTTATTTAAGGACAGCTATATTTTTGATAGAAGAACGGTGAATCGTTTGTCTCACAATATAGAGTCAAGCTACAAATAGTACTGATCACGGTGTTTCGACTGCAATACTGCTAGTTTTCGTCAGGCAACGAGATCGAAAGTTTACGTGTCAATATTTTACAGCACCTTGGTTTGATGTTATTGGTGTGTTTTTTTTTTCTCTCTTACCAGCCTGTCCGTCGGTTCACTCGTCCACTTAATCATCTATTTTATCGTTTAGGATGTCATTCAATCGTTAATTATTACATTCACACATTCGTGCACATTCATGCACATATTCATTCAACGTTTATCGTTCACCTATTCATTCATTTACCAATTCTCACGTTCACATACACATTTCACACGTTCACATACACATTTCACAAATTCATCTCTATAATCATGTATTAACTTGGATTTTGTACGATTGCTTATTTAAGTTGCAGTGATGAGAAAGTGCTAAAAGATAGCGATCGAATTGGAATTACTCAAGGTTTTTTCTATTGTTCGCCAAAGAGAAACTATAACTAGCTTCTTTCCATAATTTGACTCAGTTAACGCTAATTAACGCTGAATTCAGCGAATTCAGCGTTAATTCATGACTCAGTTGTCTCGGATTACCTTGCAGCGTCGTCCTCACCTAAAGACGACACCATCATCATAGCTGTAGTGGTTGGATTCCTTGGCTTCGCTGCCGTTTTACTCGTGGCAGCCGTGGTAATCATTCTTTGTAAGCCCCACAGGACACCCAATGTGACTGGAGCGGCCACATCTCCACTATTATGAAGTAATGATCCAGGACCGAGCTGAAAGAGAATCCGAAGAATTTGTTGTTTGGTTCGGCAGATTTCCGTCATGTTCTCGGGCTCCATCTTCGATCCTTTCGTGATGAAGACTTTTCGGGGGAGAAGCATAGGCACATTTTTCCGAAAAAAAGCTGTCAAACGTCGGGCATGTGCAAGGGGGTCAGGTTTCGCCGGTAGAGCGCTTATTTTCGTTGTTAAATTTGTAAGGAAACCTAAGAAAGAATCACTGTCTCGAGCAATATGAAAAACAGTAAAAAAAAAATTGAAACGAGAGAGAGAAAAAGAGAAAAAAAAAAGAGAAAAAAGAGAAAAAAGGAAGGAAAATAGGAAAACTTAAGATTTTTCGAACACAGGGCTAATTGTATTATGATTAAATTTGGGGATTCGCCCTTTTACTTTCTATTTTATCGAAAAAAGTGATTCTTTTTTTTTTAAAACGTAATGACTCATTAATTCATTTGGTTTCCCATAACTCTCGTAACAGCTTGGTCCTGAAGGACTGAAGGCGATCGAGCGAATCAGCCAATATAAAATTTGATTCATACATGGAGGTACATTGAACCACTTTGTAATGATTTGGTTTTCTATATTTCCAATTCCCGCTTTTGCCCAGTTTTGTTGGTATCTGGATATTAGAGGCTTTATATATGGACTGCATTGGAGGGTAAAATGTTTGTAAGAAATATCTATAACAAGATGACACGTTAACGTATGTAAATAAGGAGAAAAAAAATTTTTAATTAGGAATTATCGTAAAGGTCAAATTTGAAAAAAAATTACAGTTTTAAGGTGTATGGTTTCTAATAAGAAAAAAAATTATAAAGACATCAAAGTAGCAGATCAATAGCGTTTAGTAGGAAACGATTCGTCACGGTCCTTCAAATTGTTAGATGTCCGTACAAGAATAGGGATTATTCATTCTTTCATAAGGCAACAAATAAAGATATCAGCCTGACGTTCTTTGCCTGATTTCATTCGTGTAAATTGCAATTACATTGAAGCCCACATTGAAGGACCAGCTATGAAACTCTCTCTTCTTATCCATGAAGGAATCGATTCCGATATGCCCCCCTTCAGTATAAGTACTAGTACAGTTTAGTAAAAGCTGACGTGTGCAGGGCGGCCGGACGTATTGGCGTGAGCCGGTCCGGAAAAAGCCGTTGGGCCCTGCTGCCCTCGCGTCGCTTTGTCACAAGACTTAAAGAAAATCAGAACCGATCGAGAAAAAAAGTCGCGTTTTTCGAGGAAAGGGTGATCTTGTTCTGTTTCAAAGAGAGAAACGAAAAGTTATTCTTCCAGAAATTTTTTTTGTGCTTGTATGGCTGCGAATGCTATTCTATAGCTTCCTTTATAGTGAAATTTTCTTGCCCATTAGGTACGGACGATCTCTCCAAGAAAGATAGAACTAGGGATACTTTTTCTAACCCTCTCAGATTGCAATGGCAGCTTAAGATAGGACGTACATCGAAGTTCATCATGGGGAAACAAACCGATGAGTGCGTAAATTTCGTACGGATGAACTTATATTTATTATGTTAATGCAGAGATTTAAATTCTTTTTTAATGCGGAAAATTTCTTGTTGAACAGGTTCAAGTCAAAAACTCATAGTTGCCTTTCTGATAGAAATGATTCCACACTACCGACGGCAAGTGAAAAATATTGCAAATTTACCACTCTGTATATCTCATTATGTACATCAAACCCAATAAGACACATGTAACACGTTAAAAGCTATCAACGAAATGTGGTGTTTTCAAATATTTTACTTTAAGAACACATCTTCACTCAGACAGCGACACGTTTCAAACATTTGCAGAAATAGGGGCCATATTCTTCCTCTTTTGGAGGGACTCATAGAAAACTATTACTTAAAAGTTCTCGACTTGAGCCATGATTGCGTGAACGATCAAGCAGCTTCTATTTTAGGCCCCATATTGAGCGAGACAAGTTCACTAGAGTTTCTTAATGTGCGTTGGAATAACATTACCGCCCAAGGAGCAGCCGGGATCATCTTAATGGGCTTCGAGAGTGTTACATTTTGAAGGAGTTGGACGTTTCGTGGAATAGCCTGTCTGGGGTAGGGGCACAAGCCTTGAAGGGGGCACTCGAGGCAAATGAATCACTGATGTATCCGGATGTTACAAACGCATCAATTGGGCTGCTCGAGAGCAAAGATCATCGCGAAGGGCTTGAAAAGAAACAACTCTCCAGGTGCTCTACATTGGGAATAATCTATACCCGTACCCCAGTAAGGAGCGCCTGCGTTCTTGAAAGCAATTCGCCGTAATATTACGACAGCGCGCTAGCGGAGCTTCATCTGCAAGGGATGGCTCTTGATAGAGATTGTCATAAAGAGCTGGAAGATGTGATCAAAAAGAGGCCCAACTTCAACTGCACCTGGCAAATAAGTAACCAGGGATGTCAAGCAAGGAACGTCATGAGCCCAGATAAATCCTCACCATTGGATGTAATCGTGCGCTTCGCTCGCAACAATGGACTGCGGATGACGGACATGTTCAAAGTACTTTCTGGTAAAGGCGACACTATTGTGGAAGACGATTTTATCGCAAGCTTAAAGAAAATGAAAATTAGCACGACAAAGGCTGATTTCAAGACTGGTTTCCATTCTAGATGTCAATGAAGACGGAAAGCTACAGTTCCATGAATTTCCCATCCTCGGAGACACAGGGGCTGAGTCGATTTCAAGTTAGGGCATGAAGAGCCCCTGGGGACATTGACTTAAAAGACTAGTTCCAATCGGTCGCAGTCGTTATGCCATCTGATTGGTGCCAGAAAATCTTTGTGTTTTTCTGCCCAATCAGAGTGAAGTGTGCTTTAGAGTCCTTTCGTGTGTTTTAACACGGACATATACTAGTAGCTCAGTTTCTCGCTATGTTTGTTTGGATCGTGCGACGGAGATTTGCTTGAGGTGAAAAGTTTCAGTCTCAGCACACAATGTAAGAGAAATCGATCAGATTGTCCGCGAAAATCTTACCGGAAATTATACTGAATACTTTCGCAGGTATCACTAGAGAACGTGTTTTAAAGTTTGCGAGGTTTGTATACAACACGATGGTTGCAGTCATTGATATGTCGCTTTAAACGTTAAACGAGATTTAAGCTTAAATCTTTCTAGATTTTTTGCATAATTTGCTGTGACTGAAACTTTGCCAATCCCGTGAAGTTATTTCGTCGCACGGGCCACGCAGGTATGTCGAGCAACTGG